CATCGTCAAATCCTATCATTGAAACTATTTCTCCAACAATTTAGTCTTGTTAGCTTTGCTGTCACTATATCAATAACTTTTTCGATGTAATAGTTAAAAAGTGATGGTGATAACGTACTCCCTTGTCGGACTTTTTTTTTTATTTGAGCGTTAGTTGTGATTCTCCTTTTTTAATGCAAGCTGTCTGATTCCTGTAAAGACTATGGTGATTCTTAGGTCTTGTTATTCAACATTTATTTCTCGTAGTGTGAGCAGTATTTTGTTTCAATTTACTTTATCGAAAGTCTTTTCCGGTTCTTAGAAGGTCAAGTATATAACTTTATTTCTATCGATCTTTTTTTTTAAATTAACACTCACAGTCTTAGAATTGCTTCTCGTGTACCTTTTTGTCTTGTATATTTAAGTAATGTGCTAAATGACATATACTTACTTTTAAGGTTATCATTAACATGAAAAGTAAAAAGTATTTCATCGTGCAATTTATTTATGTTAGGTTGATTTCTTGAAGATTTTAATTTGAAAAAATTGTATACACTAGTTTTAAAAAATATTTTGTGCGTTATTTTTATGAATTTTTTGTACTATATTTGTTACATTATTCATTGGAAGAAAAGAATTAATTATTATTCACATGTACTTGTTCATCATTCAACATATTTACTTAATTGTTGACGTAATTATTATATTTATATATTAAAAGTTTATTTATAATACTGTAAATGGTATTTTTAATCTCTCAAATACTGAGTTTTTCTATAAATATTCACACTAAAATTATATTTAATATACAGTGATGTATTTAGAAATATATAATGGGTGGTGCACAAAAAGTGTTCATGAATACATAAAGGAACCATAAAACGACTTTTTTTTGTCATAACTTTTGTTAACACATATTTTAGATTTTTTTTATTAATTTTTATATATAAAAATATTTCTTTTCATACAATATATATTTCTACATAATAAACACTTCAAAAATTGGTGATAACATTAACGGGAGTACTGTGCGGGTGTCAAATATTGTTCACAAGACAAATATTTTTTTAATTTTTTTTATTAACCAATTCTCCATTTTAATCGGTTACTTGCCTTTTCCTCAAGAAACTTAAATGTTTTGACTCTTGCATCACCTTTAACATGTCCTATTTAAAAGTTTTGTGGTCGTCCTACAGTTGTTTTTTCTTCTATCATACGCTCTAATACTATATTATGCAACTCTTCTGGGTGTCCAGGGCATGTCCAACTATTTTCCAGCGTCTTGATCAATACCGTAGATGTTATTCTCCTTTTTTAATGCAAGCTGTCTGATTCTTGTAAAGGCTGTAGTGATTCTTAGGTCTTCTTATTCAACATTTATTTCTCGTAGTGTGAGCAGCATTTTGTTTGAACTTTATTTTATCGAAGGCCTTTTCCGGGTCTATGAAGGTCAAGTATATAACCTTATTTCTATCGATCTTTTTTTTTAATTAGCATTCGCAGTCCTAAAATTGCTTCTCGTGTACCTTTTTGTCTTCTAAACCCATATTGGTCATTTTTTAAGTACTGCTCCATTTTTCCTTTTATTCTTCAAATATTATTTTTTTAGACTCAGTGTTCTAAACTGTCCACAAGAATTAGCTCCACTTTTCTTTGGTATAGTTACAATTATACTTTTACAGTAATCATCCAGAACATCTCCTTTTTCATAAATATATCCCAAATTAGTTTGTATAAAGCGTCTTTTATCTTCGTACTAACACATAATTATGCAGTTATATTATTAGTTCTAGGTGCTTTATTTTGTTTCAAGTCATAAAGCGCTAGCTCAAATTCTGATCTTAAAATTAGTAGCCTCATTTCTACTGGATTTGTTGTAATTTCTTCCAATTTTTCTCCCTAATAAAGTACACCCTTTCCATCGTTATATTAATCAACATAGTACGAGGTGTGATCAAAAAGTAAGGTGACTTTTCAAATTTCGCGGGCTACTTCCGTTCGATCTTAGATTTTTTTTTATGTCATGTTGGTACACTCGTACCGAACATCTGTACACAGTTTCAAGTATATAGCATATTTAGTTTGTTTTTGACAGATACAAAGATTAGACGTATTTTGGTGTGCTCGGCGATTTTCTGCTATCAAAAAAAAAATGGATCAAAGAATTTGCATCAAATTTTGTGTCAAAAATGGAATTAAGTGTTCTAATAGACTTGAAATGTTGACAGTAACATACGGTGAGTCCGCTCTGAGTAAAAATAACATTTATAAGTGGTACAAGCTTTTCCAAGATGGCCGAGAAGATGCCAATGACGAACCTCGCTCTGGACGTCCCAGCACGTCAACAACAGATGAAAATGTTGAAGCAGTGAAGAAAATTGTTTTGGAAAATCGACGAATCACTATCAGAGAAGTTGCTGAGGATGTTGGCATATCGGTTGGCTCGTGCCATGAAGTTTTTTCGGATATTTTGGGCATAAGACGTGTGTCAGCGAAGATTGTTCCGAAACTGCTTAATTTTGACCAGAAGAATCGTCGCATGAGCATCGCTCTGAAGCTGTTGAATGACGTCAATGATGATCCTGATTTGCTCAAAAGGGTCATAACTGGTGACGAATCATGGGAATATGGTTATGATATCGAAACCAAAGTTCAATCGTCCCAATGGAAAAGCCCAGGAGAGCCAAGACCGAAAAAAGCACACCAAGTTCGATCAAATGTCAAGGTTTTGCTCACCGTTTTCTTCGATTGTCGTGGCGTAGTGCATCAAGAGTTCTTACCACAAGGTCGTACGGTCAATAAGGAGTATTATCTTGAAGTTATGCGTCATTTGCGAGAAGCAATACGAAGAAAACGTCCGGAATTATGGAAAAACAATTCATGGCTTTTGCATCATGATAATGCACCTGCTCACTCATCGTTGCTTGTGAGAGATTTTTTGGCCAAAAACAACACCACAATCATGCCTCAGCCACCATATTCACCGGATTTAGCCCCATGCGACTTTTTTCTGTTCCCAAAACTGAAAAACCCTATGAAAGGACGAAGATTTGCAACGATTGGGGAGATAAAAACTGCATCGCTGAAAGAGCTCAAGGCTATACCAAAAAGTGCTTATCAGAAGTGTTTCGAAGATTGGAAAAAGCGTTAGCACAAGTGTATTACATCTGAGGGGGATTACTTTGAAGGGGACAACATAAACATTGATGAATAAATAAATAGTTTTTCATAAAAATATCAAGTCACCTTACTTTTTGAACACACCTCGTATACGCCGCTTTTTTTATAGCTGATTTTGTGTTGTTCCATATTTTATTCAAAGGATCATCTACGTTTCCTTTTTGGTATTAGCGATCAATGTGGTGTCTATATTGTTCTACAACCACTGCTCACAATATTTGACTTGATGTACTTTTGGTCTTTGTGGTTTTTATACCTGAGTTTGCATTTCACCATTACTAGATTGTGATCACTGTCATAATCAGTAGTTGGGTATGTTTTACAGAATTTCAATTGGTTCAAAAAGCGATTTTTCACTAGTATATAATCTATTTGGTAGCGGGTAATATCGCCTGGCATTTTTCATATATATATTCTTTTCTTGGGGTTTTGAAATATGGTGTTTGTTATAACCATTCCATTATCTCTGCTGAACTCTACTACTATTTCGCCTTTTGCATTTATTAAGACAACTATATCGAATAACATTTCATAAACCCATGTTATTATCGATAGCCAAATATAACTTTTTCTATCATTAAATTACGTAAATCATTACGATTATGTACGTGTAATGCATAATGCATTACGCGCCTTACATTTATCAATGAAAAATTTATAATCTGTATTTTATATTACTTGTAAAACAAACAAATAACTTATCTGTCATAACATGTACACTGTTCAACACAATTTCTTATTATTTACATATATGTCAATTTATTCATTATTAATTGTGCAATCTTAATATAATAATCTTGTAATGTATAATTTAAGACAATAAACTAGAAGCGGTGACAACAATATCCCTAGATTAGAGGTACTATCACACACTATAAAAATCACTGAAGGCCTTACAGAGTTCAGTTCGCTTCTGTCGAATTCGAATCTGAAACAATTATCTGCCACGACCCCGTGTTGTTGTTGGCTGTCTTTTTATGCGTCTTGCTTATATACAGAGATCGGATATTATAGCACTAAAAATAGATTTTTAGCACTTTAATATGCACTTTAAAACACCACAATATGGACTATAAATAGCACTAAAAACATAAAAATATGCAAATTACAATTTCAATACAAACTTTTTTTAATAATAATTTTTTTCAAACACAACTATTTAAAACAGCTTATATGTTATAGTTGAATATAGTATAGTATATATATACTAGTATATTATTAATGTTTTAATGAATTTATTTTAAATGAATTTATACTATTTAATTAAAGAATTACACTGAATAATAATGTGTGTTGTGATACATTGAACTTTTTGTCGGAATTAACTTAAATTTCACAAATTTTACAAAACAATACACTTGCATCGATTGAAAATATATTAGGATCAAATTCATTAATATAAGATTGTAGCCGACTCGATAAACATTGTTTTACTTCTGGCATTTTTAAAACAATTAACACACCACTTTTCAAATAACGCAGATACAACACATAGAAATGATGATTGTGGTACACTAAAAATTGTAGTCTAAAATAAAAACATTGTATATGTAGGTAATATGAAGATAACACCAAGACCTATTTAAATAGGATGATGACTATAATAGTAGTACGTTTGACAGGAAATGACCAAATTATTGTAAATGATATGAATTGTATTATCGACAACAACAATCGAATATATCACATTTGATAATCAAAATACTTGTAAATTTTAACCCAACCCAACATTCATATTTATGTGTTAGTATAGTTTTTTTTTCAATACAATCTTGGTTATTTTGGATATATATATATATATATATATATATATATATATATATATGTTACAGTAAAAGATGTTAAATTTATATTGACGTTATTAACTAGCAATTAACGTTAATAGATAATAATGAATACTTTACAAGCTTTATAACGTTAATTACTTAGGATTTACGATAATTCCAAACAATATTAGTTAATCATGTTATTTATATTTACATTTTTATATTATTATTTATTTTCACATGATAATGAACTGTGACATTTCGAATTGCATAATTTCCCAACTACTTGACAGGTGCATTTATTTGTTTTACACTTCATCTTACAGTGACATCTTTGATAGCCTTGTGTACCCATAAGACTACTACATCCTGCTGCTTCTCGAACTGTAATCTCTTTTTCTTTAGATGATTCAAGCAGGGTTTTGGGATCAAGTAAAATTTCTTTGCATGGCACAAGTTGAGATCTCGTATACTTGTGTTTAAGAAAACCATTTTCGGTACCTAATTCAAATATAAATACATTAATACCTATAAATTTCAATTTTGTATCTTATTTTACATACATAATTTATAAAAGCCGTTATCAACATTAGCAATAACTACTAATAAATTAACATACAAAAATAATATGACGATATTATGGCGATGTCGATCCGATGCGTACCGTGAAAGACTGACAAAATATTATCTATAATAGTTATTATATTTACAATAAAGCCCTACACTAGTAAGCCCCACTAAGCTTATATTATCTAGTATTTAATACCATTAAGATAACATTATATAACATTTTCCATCGTGTGTAGAAATTATCGATAATCAAACCAAAAAATTAATAGACCACGATAATCACTAGTTTGTTTGGTAATTATTGTTATTTACTAGTTAATAATGTCAATATAAATTTAACATCATTTACTGTAACATATATATATATATATATATATACATATAATCTAGCTAAAAATAGCGCTTAAACCTAAAAATTAGGAAAATAGCACCAAAAACTGTAAACAAGCAAAAATTAGCAAAATATGCATTTGCTAAAACTTGCGAGCCCTGCTTATACAGGGTGGCCCACCATTCACTGACAACTTTTGATCAAGTTAATATTTTTAGTTGATTTTTTTTTAAATAATAGTTATACGTTAGATCTATAGCTATATCTCAATAATTTTTTTTTTTACATTTTATTAAAAATATTAATTATTTTTAAATTTTAAATAAAATGTAAAAAAAAAATCTAAGATAGCTATTTTGTAGAGTAGAATTTAAGAAAAATTTTAGTAAAAAAATATCTTATTAATATTCAGTAGTAAATATTCTGTAGCGTTTTGAAGTTTGTGAAAATTTGAATTTTCATGTATTATTTTACGGTATTAAATATTGAAATACGTATTGAGAAAAGGACAGAAAAAAACGCTATCTTTTCATGATTACTATAATTTGGAGGTGCGTAACTTTTTCCATGAAAATGACTTATACTTTTAATGAGAGTGATAAGTAATAATTGCCTTATCTAATTTCTTATCATGGTATTAATGCCAAGTTTGTAATGTATACACATTATCATCATATGTATATACAGTAATCATAAATTAAATTACATTATATTATTTATTACAGACTAAAAGGTATTAGCATAAACATTCATAACATAATCATTTCATAGTAATACTTCACGTAAAATTGATATAAATTAATTATAACTCTGAACGACATTTTATTCATTATAGATATAAAAAAAACCCAGCACAGGGGGGTCGCGGCACAGTGGTGACGTGGCATAGTTGGATCAAGTATAATGATATCTGACAGTGATTAAAATCACTATCAAAAAAAAACGCTTCGATGCAAATCTTTAGATAGTGTTTAATTTTAAAAAATTGGTGGATTATTCCAAAAGCTTCATAAACTGCTAGTTCCTTATTAATATCCTGATTAAGACAAAGTATGTAGAATAAAAAAGAGATTATTAGAAAATAGTATTTCCCATAAAAAAATTATATTGATCAATACACTTTTCAATAAGTTATAGCATTATAATGTTAAAAATGTAAAAAATAAAATTGAGAATTTTCACACAATAATAGCATTTGGTAGCCATTTTCACCTTGAAGATAAAATAAAGTCCGAAATTTTTTTTTTCCATGATAAAGTATATTACATTAGCTTTAATTTAAGATATATATAAAAGTGTCAGACTTTCCGGAACACTTTCAAAATTTAAGTTGAAAAAGTCAATTTTTTGTGAAAAAGTTGTCATTTTGAATCCCCCCCTGTAGGCAGGTAAAAAGTCAGATTTATAAAAAAAATATACCAAATGATAGGTAAAGACATCATGCATCTACAAAAAAAAGAATTATATTGATCCATACATCTTTCGAGAAGTTATAGCATTATAAAGTTAAAAATATAAAAAAGAATTTTTTTACAAAAATCGTATTTTTTTTATTAAGTTTAATGTCTGTTTTCACCATGAAGATAAAATAAAGTCCGAAATTTTTTTTTACCATGATAAAGTATATTACATTAGCTTTAATTTAAGATATATATAAAAGTGTCAGACCTTCCGGAACACTTTCAAAATTTAAGTTAAAAAAATTAATTTTTTGTGAAAAAGTTGTCATTTTAAATTCCCCCTTGTGGGCAGGTTAAGGGTTAAATTTATGAAAAAAAATATACCAAATGAAAGGTAATGATATTATGCATCTATATAAAAAAGATTTATATTGATATGTTTATTTTTAAAAAAGTTACGGCAGTTTAAAAAAAAAATTTGAAAAAATTAGCCATTTTTAAGTTTGTAATTTTTTTGGAGGTTTCCCCCTTTTACCGGGAACGAGGGAATTTTTTTCAATTTTTAAGGGTAATGTCTTCGACTAGATACGATTTGTGATCTTTTGACGTATCATTGAAAGAAATCGGTTCGGTGAGAGCTGAGAAAAAGTGGTAACAGACACAAAAAAAAAAAAACACATCTTAGTAAAACCAATACCTTCTCAGCTTCGCATCGAAGCTAAAATTATTTTAAATCAAATAACATATCATCAAATAATTTATGTCGTTTAATTTATCGGTGTAGAATATTATTAACAAAACAAATATTGATATCTAAAAAAGTTTTGAATTATTATTATTAGTTGTTTTTTTTTTGTTAAGTGTTCGTTTTTATAATAATATATATCTAATATTGATACTATAATACGACTATTTATTAATTAATTAATAAAAACAAATAATATATTTTCAAAGAGAAAATAGAAAATATTGCACAGTAAATAAAAATAATACCATCAATTAATGTTTCAGAATTACAGATTTATTAGAAATGCAGCTCAGCATCATTATTTTTATATATATTACTCACTTAGAGCATGTATCAACTTCAAATTTATAACTATGAGAATAGAGGAAATTCAAAAGAATGAGAATTCATTAAACATTTTCAGTTAAATCACGACAATACATACACAAACATAATATTAGGCAAAGCATTTGTACAAAAAGTTTTCAAAAAAAGTATTTTAAATATGTTGAGTATTGTTGTACCAATACAAAAAGAACATACGTAATCACAAAATAAATTTCTTCTCAGTTTCACAATAAAGCTAAAAATTTACCTGACAAATGGTCTTCTATGTGTAAACGGCCGCAAAGCTCTAAAATAAATTATATTTTTTTAGTAGACTACAGTGTAATTACTTAAATGAGTTTATAGATCTAATAACTACATTAGCTAAACATTTAAGTAAATATACTGTATGGTGAACACGTATACATAGATGAAATAAATTCTATTTAATGATTAATTAAACAAATATGGCATCAAATTATATAAAAATAACTTTCAACATAATTTTTACAACTAGTGTAGCAAATTTTTGAGATTGAAATCATAGAGAATCAATTTTACAAAAGTAAGTGACAAAATGATATACTTTTTACTTTTTATGTTAATGATGTCCATAAAATTAAGCTTAAGTATTGAAGTAAAACATTTAATATGCTCGCATACTAGTTATTTTCTACATTTTTTTAACCACAATGAAAGATTTTTGTTAGAAATTGAAAAAAATAAAGATAATATCACAATCGAAAATCTTATGAATTATGGTAATGCACTGCAAACACACAGTATAGTAGCTATGATATTTTTGAAAGACTTAATACAGTATAATATCAAAGGCTTTCCTTTTTCTTTGATCACAGTAAATATGTACTTAAATAATGTTTCTGACTCCCTAAATATGATTATACAAAATAATGATAAAAAAAATGATGCTCAAAAATTGTTAAAAGGCTATAAGATTATTCACCTGGCAATTAAAGAACAACTAACATTTTACATTAATAATGATAATATTTTAAGTTGCTATTTTCCAATGAGTGAAAAGAAATATACTGCTACTAATTCATTAAAAATAAATGAGAATCTCAAGAATAAAATAACGAAAAAGTTTAAGTCAATAATTCATACGAAAGTTTACATCCAAAAAATATTTTGTTTTACGATATAATGACCTCTCAGGTTCTCACCAGCAAAAATAATATTATAAAAATAGATAATAGTCAACGCATAAAAAAAAGACATATTTGAGTATATGAAATATACTCAAAAAAAAAACCCAGCACAGGGGGGTCGCGGCACAGTGGTGACGTAGCATAGTTGGATCAAGTATAATAATATCTGACAGTGATTAAAATCACTATCAAAAAAAAAACGCTTCGATGCAAATCTTTAGATAGTGTTTAATTTTAAAAAATTGGTGGATTATTCCAAAAGCTTCATAAACTGCTAGTTCCTTATTAATATCCTGATTAAGATAAAGTATGTCGAATGAAAAAGGGATTATTAAAAAATAGTATTTCCCATAAAAAAATTATATTGATCAATACACTTTTCAATAAGTTATAGCATAATAAAGTTAAAAATGTAAAATACAAAATCGAAAATTTTCACACAATAATAGCATTTGGTAGCCATTTTCACCTTGAAGATAAAATAAAGTCCGAAATTTTTTTTTTCCATGATAAAGTATATTACATTAGCTTTAATTTAAGATATATATAAAAGTGTCAGACTTTCCGGAACACTTTCAAAATTTAAGTTGAAAAAGTCAATTTTTTGTGAAAAAGTTGTCATTTTGAATCCCCCCCTGTAGGCAGGTAAAAAGTCAGATTTATAAAAAAAATATACCAAATGATAGGTAAAGACATCATGCATCTACAAAAAAAAGAATTATATTGATCCATACATCTTTCGAGAAGTTATAGCATTATAAAGTTAAAAATATAAAAAAGAATTTTTTTACAAAAATCGTATTTTTTTTATTAAGTTTAATGTCTGTTTTCACCATGAAGATAAAATAAAGTCCGAAATTTTTTTTTACCATAATAAAGTATATTACATTAGCTTTAATTTAAGATATATATAAAAGTGTCAGACCTTCCGGAACACTTTCAAAAGTTACGTTGAAAAAGTTCTACTTTCTATATGCATTTTTATGTTTTGAATCCCCCCTGTATTTAGGGAAATGGTCCGATTTAAAAAAACAGTATGTCGAATGAAAGATCTATATAAATACTACTTCTCATAAAAAAATTGTAATGATCCATACATTTTTCAAAAAGTTATAGCATAATAAAGTTAAAAATGTAAAATACAAAATCGAAAATTTTCACACAAAAATAGCATTTGGTAGCCACTTTTACCGTGATGATAAAATAAAGTACGAATTTTTTTTTTTACATAATAAAGTAGATTACATTAGCTTTAATTTAATATATATAGAAAAGTGTCAGACTTTCCGGAACACTTTCAAAATTTAAGATGAAAAAGTCAATTTTTTGTTAAAAAGTTGTCATTTTGAATCCCCCCCCGTAGGCAGGTAAAAAGTCAGATTTATAAAAAAAATATATCAAATGATAGGTAAAGACATCATTCATCTACAAAAAAAAGAATTATATTGATCCATACATCTTTCAAAAAGTTATAGCATTATAAAGTTAAAAATATAAAAAGGAATTTTTTTACAAAAATCGTATTTTTTTTATTAAGTTTAATGTCTGTTTTCACCATGAAGATAAAATAAAGTCCAAAATTTTTTTTTCCATTATAAAGTATATTACATTAGCTTTAATTTAAGATATATATAAAAGTGTCAGACCTTCTGGAACACTTTCAAAAGTTAAGTTGAAAAAATTAATTTTTTGTAAAAAAGTTGTCATTTTAAATCCCCCCTTGTGGGCAGGTTAAGGGTTAAATTTATGAAAAAAATATACCAAATGAAAGGTAATAATATTATGCATCTATATAAAAAAGAATTATATTGATATGTTTATTTTTAAAAAAGTTACGGCAGTTTAAAAAAAAAAATTTGAAAAAATTGAAAAAATTAGCCATTTTTAAGTTTGTAATTTTTTCGGAGGTTTCCCCCATTTACGGGGAACGAGGGAATTTTTTTCAATTTTTGAGGGTAATGTCTTCGATTAGATACGATTTGTGATCTTTTGACGTATCATTGAAAGAAATCGGTTCGGTGAGAGCTGAGAAAAAGTGGTAACAGACACAAAAAAAAAAAAAACATCTTAGTAAAACCAATACCTTAAATAAGCTAAAAAAGAAATTTTAATTCTAAGGATGTTTTTCAATACATAAAGATAGTAATTGTTGCTACGTTTCGACCAATAGCTATTCTTATTCGCAACTATTTAACCTTTTCTTTTCAATGATACGTCAAAAGATCACAAATCGTATCTAGTCGAAGATATTACCCTCGAAAATTAAAAAAAAATTTCCTCGTTCCTCTTAAATGGATGAAATCTCCAAAAAAATTACAAATTCATAACCTGCTAATTTCTGACATTTTTTTCAATTTTAGCTTCGATGCGAAGCTAAGAAGGTATTGGTTTTACTATGATATGTTTTTTTTGTGTCTGCTACCAAATGCTATTTTCGTGTGAAAATTTTCGATTTTATTTTTTATATTTTTAACTTTATAATGCTATAACTTATTGAAAAGTGTATATTTCAACAAAATTTTTATGAAAAATAATATTTTTTAATAATCCCTTTTTCATTCGACGTACTTTATCTTAATCAAGATATTAATAAGGAACTAGCAGAACATGTAGCATGTAGCTTTTGGAATAATACACCAATTTTTTAAAATTAAACAATATCTAAAGATTTGCATGGAAGCGTTTTTTTTTTATAGTGATTTTAATCACTGTCAGATATCATTATACTTGATCCAACTATGCTACGTCACCACTGTGCCGCGACCCCCCTGTACTGGGTTTTTTTATATCAATTTTATATCCATTTTTTTAATTCCTCATTTTATTTACTTTAGGCCGTATTTATAATACTGAATCTTATACTGAAATATACAAATGATAATAACAACCTATATAGAATATTATAGCGACAATAATGATATGAATGATAAGATTAGAGAATTTAACATAAAGGAACTAAAATATGAAAGTGATATCAATAGAAAGGAATCCTTTGAATCTTCTTCTTTTTTCTCGCCTTAATTCAAACTACTTGGGTCGGCCACCCTTATCCTAAACTTCCACTTGACACGATCTCTCACATCATCTAAGTTCACATCAGCCGTATTTCAATTACAGCATTCAATTACACTCCTCCATGTCTTTTTTGATCTTCCTCTACCTCTTCTTCCTTCAAGATTCATTTCTATGACTGTTCTTACAGTTTCCAATTCATCTCTCATCATAACATAACCAAACCATCTAGGTCTATTTTCTCTCATCTTATCTACGATTGACGCTATACTTATACTCCCTTTTATATGCTCATACCTTATTCTATCTTTTCTAGTCAATCCACTCATCCATTTAAGCATTCTCATATCTGCTACACTCATTCTCTGCTCTACTTTCTTATCAACTGCCCAACATTCTGAACCATACATCATAGCTGGCCTTATTACAGTCTTGTAGAATTTATCTTTCAACCTCATTGGAATTCTTTTATCGCATAAGACGCTAGACGCTTCTCTCTACTTCAACAACCCACACTTATTGTGCGTCTTATACCCTCGTCAATACCACCATTCTTTTGCACAACTGACCCTAAATACTTAAAACTCTCCACCTCTCTAATCACGTCATCACCTATTGTCACTGACCTCCTCATTTCACCTACCTAGTGTTCTCCTTTGTCAAACTAGTACTCTATATACTCTGTCTTACTTCTACTTATTTTTAAACCCTTTTCTTCAAGAGCTGATCTCCACACCTCTAGCCTTTGATTAATTTCCTCCCTATTTTCCCCTATTAACACTATATCGTCAGCAAACAATATACACCTCTCTTTGTATTTCTCTAGTAATTTCATCCATTATTATAGAGAATAAGTAAGGGCTTAAAGAAGAACCTTGGTGCACTCCTACTGTTACCCGAAAACCTTTTGATACTCCTGCCACACTTTTTACCCTAGTATAAGTGCCATACATAACCTCTATTATACTAATGTACCACTTCAGGAATCCTATTCTCATTAATGCCCACTCTAAAATTTCTCTCGGTACTCTATCATGCGCTTTCTCCAAATCTATAAATACCATACAGCTTTTTCGTCTTCTTCCTGCACTTTTCTATTTGTTGTCTCATACAAAATGATAACTCT